GAAGGAAGGACGCAGGACGAGCAATAAGACCGTGCGAGACGAAATACCGCTAGTATTGCTGGAGGATAAGCGAGCTGCCGTTCCCGTGACGAGGAGTTTCCGGTGAGACGAACGCACTTGTGTAAAGCCGCCGATTTTTCTTGTGTCAGACGGATCGCCAGGAACCCGCGTTCCTAGCTCTCGTTTTCGTTTTGCGACTCGGCGGTAGCCGATAGAGATTCCATAAGTTCAGCGCCCCGTCTGACTTCGCGTATCGAGATTTTTGCAGGATCGTCGCGCTACGCGCCCGCCGAGCGCCACAGCCAAGCCAGTTAATGTAATTGTGTCGTTTCCGTCATTGTGCGTGTGTGATAATTCACGTTTCCAAAAAGGCCTTACGCCACTGATACGGGATTTCAGAGAGTTTCCGGGATCACGGGATCCCGCGGGACGTATTCGTCCCCGAGTTTCGATTCCGCTGTGTCGATCACGCTTGCCCGTGTACGCCGAGCGCTCAGCGCCGGCGTACTAGCGAATATCACGCCCGCACTGCATGATTTCCGATTTCGCATGTTACGCGGATGCGACGGGCATGTAATCTGCGAGTCGTACCGCCGAAGGGAAACCGCTCTTAATTTTCCGTTTTTCTGAGATATTACGATCCCACATTACGATCGTGAAATACGCGAATTGCGAGTCTCCGTCAATCTTGTGCACGCTGCATTACTGCGCGTCTCGAGTGTTCCCGTTCCTTATCGTATATCACTCGTCTTTCAACTGTAATATTCGTCCGTAAAATACAATTGTTATTCTCATTGTTAACAACCACTGCTATTTCTTTCAGCCTATTCTCGCTCCCCGAACCTTTTCCGTTTTCCCTCGAGCCACCCCCTCTACCATTACCGTAGCTGAGAGGCCGGTTATCGCCGTCCTTGTCCGACCGTCGTACCGAATCCGCGTCTAATTGCGCGCTTATAGATTTCTTCTCGAGTCATTGTATTTCCGACTAACAAAATTTCCGATCAGAGAGGCACTCTCTATAACGTGCCTGGCGTCCAATTTTTGTTTCCGTTTCCGATAGGCGAGATGCCTGAGTAACGATTAATCGCGCATTAGACTCAGTTTTACCGTTTTCGCGGAATCGAGTTTGTCGGACGAGCGACGAAGTTGCACCACGCTCGTGAGTGCGGTCGCAATATATATACAGGGTGTCTCAGAATAGATGTATGACCGCTCATGGGTAGATAGAATGGACTAAACTGAATCGAAAAGTCCTCTACCATTTTGCAAAATTCGCAATATTTAACGAGATATTAATTTTTGAATATCGTCGAATGAGCGAGTATTCGTTCGGCGAGTCCGGCCCACCGCCAATACTAGCGCGCGACCGTCCATCGAGCGCGGTTGCCTAGCGCGAGACGCGGCGAGCGGGGAATTGTTTA